CGGCCAGCCAGTTTTTCACCCAGCGAAGAATTAAGTATGTGGGCCGTAATTGTTACTCATTTTATGAATCTACTTCTAAAAATTTTTATTTGAAACAATTTATATAAAAAGATTCCTACATCTTTTATTCTGCAAGGATTCAAATACATACTTAAATTACAGTGGGACCAAATGAGTGCTTTCATAAAAATACATGGTTTTTCAAAACTGGGTCTTTATGTAAATATAAATAGAGAGAGAGATATTGCAGTTATATTTTTACACTTCTAGAAAAACACTTCATGATTACTATAAAAGGGTCATCTATAGAATAATTTCTCAGCATACTGGCAGATGACTTGTTTCTATAATTATTCTTAGTTTTCGCAAGCCAGTCTAGTAACAAAATTCAAAGCTTTTTCTACAAAAGGAAGACTCTTTGCATATGTGTGAGCGTGTGCACGAGTGTTTCTATTTTCTCTGCAGAAAACTGAGTTGTAAGAAGCTGATGTGCTTTGACCATTCACTTGCTGTTACAGAACTTATTTTCCTGCTTAGTTTCATTCAAAAGACCTCAGAAATTCTTCCCACAGTCCATGAACTTGCACATATTCTAAGTAATTTAAAATCAAAATCATACATCTGCATCTATTAAAAAAAATTATCTATGAAAGCTGAACTAACATGCTAGAATTTCTAGGAATATAGTAGTTCCTTCTTGAAGCTGTTCAGTCAGAAAATAACAGGCACAATCTCAAAATTTTATTCTGAAATGTAAATCCTAAAAATCATTTATGTTTTCTGAGTTCAAGCAGTGTCTACAATGCACCTTACATTACATAGACTTTTTTTTTTTTTTTTTCTCTTCAGGAAATGCTTGATATCATGAAAGCAATATATGATATGATGGGGAAATGCACCTATCCTGTTCTCAAGGAGGATGCGCCTAGACAACATGTGGAAACATTTTTCCAGGTGGGTCGCGTAACATAGGAGCCAAAAAGACTGCTCTGTTAGCAGGTATGGAAAGACCTTCATTGTTGTAACAGTTTTGCATATCCTATCAATTTTGTAATCCTTTTTCTTCTCTGTGTTTCCATCCCAAGTTTCTCAGATCTACTCATGACACCTTGTTTTTTCAACAATAAGCTCCTTAAGCTTATTCTGGTGTATCACTTACTACATCTTTACAGAATTCCAGCCTGCTCGTTCCTAGGCTGATGTATAACTGAAACAAATAATAAAAAGAACTTGTTTTACACAGGATTTCAGGAGGATAAACATATATTCTTATTCTTTCTGAGCAGAAAATGGACAAAAACAAAGATGGAGTAGTTACCATAGATGAATTCATTGAGAGCTGCCAGAAAGTAAGTACTCAGTGATAAGTACTGAACCTGTGTCTTCTGGCTAATGTTATCATAGCGCTACATAGACTTCTGGAGTGACGCTGATGGTAATCCTAATACCAGAAACAATATGTTCCCTAGGTAGAATACGTATGTACACCATTACACAAAAACATTAAAAAATGTAAATAAATTTGTGACCTGAATCTGTAGAAAAGATTTTATATACAAGCTGTCATTGCCTATTAGACAACTACGTCTGTATCCCCTCTCTCTTTAACAGTGTTTTGTTTGTACTTGTTAGCAAAAAGTTGCTTCACATTCAGCTGAATATTTACTTATATCTTCTGCCCATGCTGGGGAACACATTCCTGTTACAATTGGCATACAGTCACAGCAATAATAATAATTATATTTCTTGAAAATCTATCATGTATAGGAGTGTTTCTCAAACAGCGAGTCATGACCTGCTGGAGGCCTTAAAAAAGGAGAGTGCAAGGAGCTTGCGAAGCATTGGATAGCAGGAATTAACAGCAGACAAGTTTTCTCAAGGCAAGGGAGTGAGGACTGATTGTGATGATCAGTTGCAGGTGTTTACACTACCCAGGTGGCTCTTAATTTCCTTCCACTGCTGAAAGCAGCTCATTGCCTCTAGAGCCAGGAATGAGAATAAACTTCTGCAGCAAGAACTGCAGCCTGTTTTCACTCCTCTGCCCTTCAGAAAGCGACTTGCTTTCAGATCAGGAGATGATATGAGGAAAGATAAGTGGCATTTTCAGAAATTTAAATAACTAATGTTAATTTGTTGGTTAAAAATGCAAGAAAAAGAAACATGATATAGTAAAAAATAATGATGATATGTCTTTGTCATAACAGGTTGTTATGTACTGTAAAGTGTCACATTAGACCTAGTGACAAGATAGGCTTGATTACCTTATGCAAACTGATGTGGAAAATAAGCCCAGTGCTATTTGTTACAGTGGGAAATATAAGGAATCATAGTAGTGTTCTACCGATATTTTGTCCAGGCTGACTCTGATTAATATGAAGCTGACATAGACCACCAATATAGCCTGTGTGTATTGCTTCTTATTTCCTATACCAAGAAGAGAGCAGTAGGCAAGAGACAAGAGAGAACAAGACTAGCAAGATAAATGCAGTTAGTGAATGATAGATTTTTAACTATTTGGAATTGGGAAAGCTGAACAGGAAACAGCAAAGATGCTTTAGAATTGGTCTATTTTTATATGCACCTGTAGTTTTCCTTGAGGTTGCTCTCATGAGCACAGTGACCTAGTAAGTGATTCTCTTTGATTTTAATCCACTGATTTGGGGGGATGAAAGACAGACAACAGCTCTTCTAACTGTGGCTATTCTGTATATCCTTAGCAATAGGTATTGGGTAGTCTCTTATCTGTTGGCAGCACTCTATTGAATTGACTGTGGTTCTAGCTTGTCAGTCTTGTTCATTACGAAGGAAAGGCATTTGCTCTGCTAAAGCTGAGTGATCATCAGAAACGGAGATGGGATTCATTTCCCAGCTGAGGTCTGCAGAGTTCTGGAAGTTAAATGACACATTAATCTGGATATGACAGCAATTATGGTGATGGGCTGAGTGATTAATTTACGAAGAAAATTAGTACCTTCAGTAAGGAATTGCCTACTCTCCTTTTCCAATGTAATTCACAATTTATCACATCTGTTAGATTTCTTATTTACCTCTTCTGAGAATTCAGAATACATGTGAGAGAGATGCTCTCTAAACTGCTACATGACAGAGATACCATTCTCATCATGCCACTTACCTCACCTTCACTTGCTTTTAACTTCAAAGATGGCAATGTATTTTGATACAAAAAGCATCTCACTGCCTACATTTTTGTCTCTCTACCTACTAAGACCTGTTCTTCTATTAAGATCTCTGAGCTGCAGTGTGTAATTCATGTTTATATCACGATTTCATTTCAGAAATGAGATTTGGGGTTAGGATTCAATCCAAGACCAAGAAACTTGATTCAGGAGTTAACGTGGCTTCAGCCTTTTCAGGATTACATTTTTTACAAAAGACAGTAGTGGCTGCTTCCTTTTAAAACACAGCTGTAGGAAAAGCTTTTTTTAATACCCTAATAGGTACAAGACCGATCTAAAAAGGTAAGGTTCAGGTTCCTTTCTTTCCTCAGCATGCGGTGAGTCGCATCACTCCAGGAGTAAGGTGTCTCATGTTTCATGAGCATTTAACAATGCCAAAAGCAAAATTAAATGATCCTGTGAGCCTTCCTTTAGTAAATCTGCCTGTGTTTTAGACCTGCCATGCATTTTTTTATGTTTTCCATATGTTCTGCTGTTATGGAAAAACAGTGGTTATCATTACTGCCCTTCATTCAGTATCTCTTTTCCAAGCTGTAAAGTACTCATTTATTCAGGTTTTCCTCCTAGGGAAACCTGTCCACGCCGTTAATCACCCTTGGGCCTCTCTCTAGACCACTGCTAGTTCTATTACCCTTCGCTTACCAAAATCAGGACATTCAGGGCAGGGGCACAGCACACCCGCTGCTCCCTAGGATTTGACAGGTATGGTGGCTTCCTCATCTACGAACCCTCCTTTGGCATTAAGGCTCATATTAGAGCCCATCTGCTCAAAACCTTCCCTGCCAGTTTGCCTAACAAATGACTACCTCAGACCTTGGAATGGGAATGCCTGTTGATGAATATGGCAGCCAGAGCTGCATCTGGTGCATGTGAAAATATGCTAAAGGCATACAGAGGATACGCTTGTCAGTTCTAGCTCAAGCTGTGAGACTAGCATGAAAATAGTGCCAGGAGACAAGCACTACAAGAAACCCTAAACCAAACGCCAAAGCTCAGATGCCATCCAGTCTGAATCTTAAAATGGACTAGAAGCCTGTTCTGACAGAGAAAGGCTGCAGGAGTCTTTTCTTTGAATGATATCTCAGGCAAGAGCTGCCAGCCTCTGAGAACTGCCATTCCTCTACTTTTGAGTTGGAAGCCAGATTAGTGGGTCTTAGAAGTACATCCCTTTTAGTGATGTTTTGTGATAACTAAGGAAAGCATTGCATGCTTACCTTAAGAGCAAGAATCAACACAGCAAAGCATATTTGAATATAGAGGCTCCACTTCAGGTTCCTGGGACAGGTTCTTGAGATTTTTTTTTTTGTAGCACCAAGAACATCTGATGTGTTCTTAACCACTCATACACACGTGTGCCTTTTTTAAAATCACCTCCTTGTGCAGAGTACTGGTTTGGCACAACTATCAATGCAGTAGCCCTGTACAGCCTGAGGTGTACAGCAAGTTCAAGACTCTTAATTCAGACTCCCAATGCAAAGAATGGCTGGTCCATTCAGTAAGTGTTAAGAATTTACTTAGGGAATTACAGAGCATTCAGGCTTCGAGCATGGTCTTCTCTGGTCACTGTGTATAAGGACCTATCTTTGCTCAAGGTTAAGTGAGGACAGCAAAGGTGCTTCCCCTCAACCTCCTTCTGTCTTGGACAGGGAACATGTATGACCTGGTTTCTCTGCCCTCCCTACCCCATATACCCATGCCTGAATGCCAGTCTGCCATCCAGCCTCCAGGACTCTCCCTTCTCCCACAGGAGAAACAGCCTATCCTGCCCTATGTATGCTGGACTGAGTCCCAGAAAGTGGCTGCTGTCTGTCCTGTTTTCTCTAAGTTACCAAATAGCAGAGATAGGTCTTGGGAGAGTAGTGTGGTTAACTCTAGGGCTAGGTGCTACCCAGTTCCTCACCTGCCTCCTTTCACTGCTTGGTGCTGGTGGAAAATGGTCTGACTTGGGCATTGCTTCATATCTACAGCAGCATCATGAAGAACAGAGGCAAAGGACTAAGGCATGCATGGTGCACAGGTGAATGTCAGGGTGAATGACTTAAAGGTCCTTCTGATAATGATAAAAAGGCTTCTGGGACAGGTATTTTCTGCACAAGTAACCCAATCCATACACAAAGCTGATGCTCTGGGCTAGCCTGAAAACAACAAAGGAGCCATCTCAAACTTCAGTAAGAAAAACTTCAAAGGTGGCTTGAAGTTAGATCAGATCTGGCAAAGCTCATTCATCCAGGTTTTGTGCTTCATATGGACTACGCTTCGTATGAACTAACACCTCCTAATGTCTCGAGTTAGGAATCATTAAATAAATCTATTATGAAAAATTGTTTAGAAAAATGTACTGAAAAAAAGAGGCAAATGAGAAAGATACTACTTGCCAAAGAATTCTAATGCAAGCACTTGTTTTGGTTTTTTTTTTTTTTTAAGATGTAAAAAAAAGCTACTAAAAGTTACCATGTTCCAAATATTATGAGAAGCTTGTATTTTCTTCTGAAGAGTCTTCCCATTTGACTGACTAAAGGAGGAGCATTGGAAGTCTTCTGTATAGAAACAGCAAACTTCAGAAATACGAAGCTGATTTTAGAAAACTACTAGTTTCATTAGTAATGATACATATATTATAAAATTGGTAGGAAGTGTCAAAACAATTTCTAAATTAAGAGCATGTTGTTTGCTTTGCACATTTGCTGAGCTTAGTTGCCAATGTATATACAAAAACATTTGTAAATAATTAAATGACAAATGATTCCAGTTAAACCAAACTTTAACATTACATTAATTGGTGATCTTCAATAGTATATTGATGTTTCAAAAAAATGCAGTGGGAAAAAGTTAGTTTATTTTAATTTCCAGTAATTTAATACAGTAAATTTCCTATACAAAGTAAGCATTAATCTACGTATCTTTTTGAAATTCCATATGATTACTTTCATAAGTTAATGAGCACAAAATAGTGTGCAGATCATTTCTTACAGCAACATCACTTAAGATGACATACGGAATCAAAGATGAAAAACTCCACTGTGCATGTTTCATAACATTAATTAAGAGAACTACTCAGACCTGTCATTTTCTAAAAAGCAAATCACCCACTAGACTGAACAGTGAATAATTTAACTGAAAATTGATACTGAGCATGTGTTATATGAACATTAATGTACAGAAGGCCTATATACCTATCCGTCACATATATCCTTTCTAAAAAGTGGGGGTTTTATGCACTGCTTTCGTGAAACTTCCTAAAATACTCTATCAAATTCAGTCTTTTTATTCACCAGAATTAAAGATGGCTAGATTATCTCTCAAGAAAGTACTAAAGGGTGTGCATTCAGATTAAAAAAAAGAGGATCGTTACAGTGGAGATCAGCAAATGCTAAATGAGTATGTAATATACTCTTGTGTATATATAGTGTATTGTGCAAGCAACTGTTGATCTGGAAGAGCCACCAAATATGGGCTACTACAAGTAAACTCTTTCTTCTATACACTGAAAGGTAAATCTTACCAAAAAAATTATTTCATCCTGACTGCTGTGCTGAGAGTTATTTACTGACAAAAACTGGAGTAGAGAGTGATGAATCAGTAAATGTTACGCGTAACTTGAAAGTCAAAGGTTTTGTTACGTACCTAATACAAAGCAACTGGAAAGCAGAAGTAGCATTGAAAAGCGATCAACATCTTTCAATGTGAACACACAGAAAATCTGAGCTGAGGAGTCAGAGAGTGTTGCAGTGATAGTTGCAGAGCTGACTCTTCGGTTCATGCAAAGATGCACACTTAAATCCACTGTATTTTGGAGCCATCCCTAGCTATGCAATAGGATGCCCTAAAATTGCAAAAAGCCTCCAGTGTACGATACACAGGACTAGCAATCTCAAGTACAGATTCACACTTCAGATACAACAACTGTTCCTTGAGTATTTCTTGTCTATATGTATTTTGTTAGACTGGATATAAACTTATAACCTCCGCAATATGGCAGACTAAATTTTCTTAATGTGCTTTTGTATTCTTGACAGAATAGTTTTGGTTTAATTAATATATACAAAAACCTACGTAGAGCCATTAACAGCCTTTTTCTGCTAACAGTTTCTCCAAACAAGCTGAAAAATAATGTTGTCATTAACTAAAATACAGTTAGTTCTACCCAATTTCACTATCGATATTGGTCAGCTACATTTGTAATGGTGTATGATTTTGTTTTTTTTGTTGTCTTTTTTTACAGGATGAGAATATAATGCGATCCATGCAGCTCTTTGAAAATGTGATTTAACGAAGACGTTAGGTCTGCAACTAATGGACAAATACGAGCTATTCTGCAACATTATCTAAAAGATGGATTTCCCACTTTATCATAAATAAAATTACTCAGCTTTACACTGAGACATGTATTATGCAAATAAATTTTTTATTATAAGCTTTTCCCAACAAAAAAAACTTTCTAAATTATACAATTTAGCACTTCAACAGTGGCTACTTAGTTAACAAGGTTGTTCTGAAAAGTCAGGTTTTTAGTCCAAACCCAGACAAAATAAGACATGACATCATGCAGCTTTATTATCATTCCAACCTCTAGATAAAATAGATACTATCACAAAGAGATTAAATAAATACTCTTAGTTTTGCTACTTGTTTGTACTGGATTAAGCTCCAGGTGTTCAAGTATATTTCCTAAATCTTAGCTTCTAATTTATACAGAGGCATTACTATGTATTTTCTTTTCACATTTGTATGGTGTAGTCCTCCTTTTTTGAATAATACCTTGAGTTAAAGTGCTATAATCAATCCACAATGCACATCTTGCTGCAATTGCCTTCCACCTTTGAATTGCTTTTCTTTTCAAAAAAAAACCCCAAACCTAATAAAATAGATAACTTGAGAGGAAGAATTGTTATAGAACAAAAAAATAAATTGCTTCTAGGTAGATTTACTCCCTAACAAATACGAGTAAGTGTCTATCAATCACACTTACCTAGTAAATCTGCATTTAATTTATCATGACATGAATATCAGGAGTCCTACATACTGTATTTCTAATTCTTCTTGGATATGTCCGCAAAGTTCTTTGCTTAAAATTAAGGATCTTCTGACTTCTAATTTTCATGAAGAAACCTTAACTGGATTCTAACACTAACTTCAATGAAGAAAAAGGCATGAACTTCTTTTGAAACTTCCATCCCACTTCAGTGGTATATAGTAACATCTACTAATAATGACTGCTAGATACGCTAACATCTGTTTCAGCTTTTTGTAATATCTTTAATTATGAGACAGAATCAGGAAAAAATTGGAAACTTCAGCTACATCATATTATCTATATGTGATAAGTGTATTACATTTTTTAGGATCATTTCTTCATTAAGATTGGAGCTACCTTAATTCTGAACCTAGAAAGATTTTTCTAAAAAAGTATGTACCTAAAATATAATACTGCCCTGCCCACCCGTGTAATTTTTAAGATATATAGTCCACAGAGTTTACGCCAATACTTCAAAACACGTGAAATGCTATCAGAGATAGGCCAGTCTTCATTGTGACATTGCTGCAGAAAATGTGAAAGGGGATTAATGAAGTAGAAAGCATGTTGCAAGCACTCTTTTGCAAAAATAAATCAGGTATCTATTCTGGTGTAGAGATGGGATGTTAGAGGCATGTTGAAGGCTGCTCTGCTATCACCAGTGTAGGATAAGAGTAGTACAATACATGTACACCTGAAATCTGCTGTAGTGTGTTTGTGTAAACTAAATGTGCACATTTTGTAAAAAAATAAATAATAAAGTAAACATGAAGAAAAACAAGCAGCACGATCGATTTTTTGAGTTGTTCAACAAATACTTGTAGTTCTTCAAATTAAACATTTTTGCCAACAAAATTAATGTATTTTTTAAAAAAGCTTAAATACATAGATCTTGACTTAGCACAGTCCTAAAGTAAATTTGATTTAGTCAAGCAGTGGTAACTTTCCAAAAATTCTGAAATTGCTTTCACATTACAGAGTTTTTTTAATATGCTATGTAACAGCATCTTCTGACAACAACAACAAAAAAACCCTTCCAACTTTAAATTCCAGAATTGAATTTTCCTCAGGGGAAAAAGTTCTATGACAAATTTTGTTGCTTCAGTCAGCTCTCCCTCAGAGAGTAACTCAAATACACGTAACAACATGAACCCTGAACAGTATTTACTACAGACCTGTTAGGAATTACTTTGCAATCAAGTTCAAATACATTCATGGACAAATGCTGCACTCTATGAGGCTTGACAGCCAAGTAAGCTGGCTTCTGCAATCTTTATATTGTCTTTAACTGATATTTTTTTCATAGCTTCCATGTTCAGAGGTTTATTAGCTTGTCTGGAGCTGAATTCACAAGCTAGTCCCAAGCATATCTGTGGCATTACAGAATTCCATGCAAAGGGAGCATGGTGTAACTACTCCAAAGTTGCCTCCCACATCTAGCTCACATTCAGTAGGCCCAAAGCTAACTGGAACTAATTAGTCGAGCAAAACCTAAGCTGTGGCTCTATGGAGCAACCTGATGCCTCTGCACTGTATTCTCCAGAGCCTCTCGAGCTTCTCAAAACAATGTGCTGAGGATGCACTGAGCATGTTCAGTTTTGCACCATATGCTGTTTAGTGTGTTCAGCTTTATACCTTTAAAAGCTGACTCTCAAGAAGTCTAGATGAATTCTCATAGTTCTACATCTAACCCAGTAAGCCCTGATGAACCCAAACTGCATCCATCTGTGCCTGTCACACAAAATAACCTGTTTCAAAAGCGGGTATACATATGTAATTTAACACCAAGTTAGTTTCTATTTAAGTTATTACAAATAAATTGTTTTGCATCACACAAATGTACAAAACATATTAAGCACTCCAGATATATTAAAGGAAATTGTAATTTACAACAAAACAAGAATCAATATTTACTTTGCTCTTGAAATAATAGCCAGTTAGTCAATGTCATTGTAGGCACAATGCACATGCAAATAGCAGCCAGTACAGAGAGAATTATTTTAAATAGTCTTCCATAATTATATATTCACAAACTGATAGGACTTTTCCCATTCTCCATCATGCTGAAGAACTGTGATTCTTTTAAGAGAATATATCATACCCCAAACAAGTGTCAGTGATGTTCACAGCTAGTTTCTTTCCAAACTTCACCTTACGGTACAAATCACTATGGTTTTCTTGTTCAAGAGGAGATAGAACAATAAGTTGGAATTTTAGATTTGATGATAGCCACAGTTGCCTGTTGATGGAAATAAAACAAATTCAAACAAAACAAGGAGCACTAGCACTACATATAAGAGTAGTCATATAGTCTCTATAAATTGTATAATTCACAACTTTTACTTAGTTATCCCTGTTTTTTTATCGAACAGTAAAAAAATAAAAAGTTAGTATTTGCTGAGAAATTTACTGTCAAAAGGGCTGAAGATAATGAACCGAAAAAAATGGAGCATTGGGATAACTAATGCTGGCAAGTAAACATCCAAGAGAAGAGCTATGTAAAAACTCATACCTAAAACTGGGCAGACATAAGAATTAGAGGTTAACGATTCACTAGATTAGTTACATTATCTAGACCTAAATTTTCAGAACATCAAGATGAGATGTAATTTTCCTTTTCTTGTCTCACTACATATGAATAAGAAAACTCTCATGCTTCATCATTTGTCATGATGTTTTTCAAGTCTGTAATACGAACACTGCTACTGCCCCTAAATGAGTATGACCACACACACACACAAAAAGTGGTGTCTACTGATTAAGGCACACAAGCTCAGAACTGGTAGACCTATATTTATGGTCTCTGTTCTTTAGGTTATTCCTATTCTTTACCAATGACCATTTAATATAATACATGCAAATGTTCATAGGTCAAGAAAGCAAGTATTTTCTCTTCTAGATGATTATCCAAGCCAATATTCCCTTCACTTTTTCTTCTCTCCTCCTTTCTGCACTATTTACAGCACAACAGAAAATGGCAATGGAATGTTCAGCAGAAGAATACTCTGCCATCTATTATTTAAAGCATTTTTTTTATTTATAACAATTGCAGATCTAACCTCTGGGTTAACCAGGGTGCACTGGAATATGCGTATCCGATTTCCTCAGTAAGTGATCTAAACAATAAGCTATTAGTGGGAATGGGCAGGCATTATCAGTAACAGCAAAAAGTATCTTCTAGCAAGAGTAAATCTCGTTGAGAAAAGTATTTAGTCTCAGAAAAAGGAACATGAAGACTTCATCCCAGGCATAGTGAAGCAAGACACATTCAGCCTGAGTTAGATGTCAATACTCCAGAAGTGGCCAGAAGCTATTTACTAGTTGACATTTGGTGAATTCCTAGATCACTCTTCATAGGCATCTAGCCTACCCTAACGTCTGTACAAGAAGCTCACATGCTTTATGCTGCATAAGCATCTATTTATTAAGTGCTGCAATGTCTAACTTGGAGTAAGGACTTATATTCAGCATCCTGCATCTTACCCCACGCAACTAACCCATTTGTCACACCAGTTCAAACCCTGCAAAAAAATTTAGACTTTCTAGAGAAACGAAGAACTTTCAAGAAATAACAGCAAGTATCTCATTTAACCACTAAGTCTGCATAAGCTTCCCACCAAGGACAATAAAATGTTCCAACCAAATATCATGGGTAGGGATCCACATGGATGCACACTTGCTCCCAAAAAGAGATCTCCTGAATGGGGCTTGGTGCGCTGTGCTGTAAGAATCCAGCCATGTAGCTTCTTATACAGGTATGGATCCCTTGAAATATTTTACTGACACATACTCTTGTATTTCCTGCTCAGAGATTAAAACAACGGAGAATACAAATGAAAAGTGCGAGATGAAAAAAATGGGAGACAGCAAAACCTAACTGGCAGAATATGTATTACCGAGAGTAGATTGAATGTAATTTCTATTACCACTCAATACATCAGACTAAAACAACTATTTTACTATAGACTGGAACACAACTCTGCTGATTGCCACAGTGCAAAATCCTGTGGTTTATGTAATATGAATAGTTGTGACATGTAAAAATAAGCAGTTCCAGAATGAGGTTCTTAATCTGAAAGCCAAAGATGGAAGCTGTTTTGGGAAAATTGCATTCAAATGTGCAGATTACAAAATAATCATCTGATCAACTCACCTTTCCACCATATTGCTCCAACTTTTGTAAAGCAACAGTAATTTTTTCTCTGAATTTCTTGCCCATTAATCTCCTTGAAAGCTATTGGAAAAGTAAAATAAAAGGTTTGTTGCATAATATAGTACAATATATGCAAAGAGGCCAATATAATTCTATTTTATTACTTTATTTCATCTTTGGAAAATTAAAGCCGAAAAGAAACATCACTTTATAAACTTGTA